TGTTTATATTGAATCCTTTTTTTCAAAAAGTACCAGGAAATAAAAATCGCTTAAGTACATATTTCTTTAAACAATAAGCACTCAAAACCAGTCATATTAATAGGTAAAAAATTACTAATTTTATTTCGCTTAATTTTTATTGTTTTTTATTTGTTTTTTTTTTATTTGTCTTTTTTATTAGTTGTTTTATTTGTTTTGTTTTTTTTTTGTTTTTTTTTATTTTTTTAAAAAAATTTCATCAGAACATTTTGAATGCCTCTTGGTTGATTATACATCCGATGTTAACCGTCAAAATACATGGAACCAATGTACGTACGTACGTTGTAAACGGCAAAATCAACCTTTCCTAAAAAAGTTAGTACTGCGGTAATCGGTTGTACGAATTCCCGGAATTCCTGGAATTCCTAGAATTCGAAGAATTCAAAGAATAGTTGGAAAAATCAGAATAGCGAGAATAACTAGAATAACGAGAATAATTAGAATAGCTGAAATAATTAGAATTCGCGTTATTCCTGTATATGTAAAATTTATTATATAAGTGGAGGTTCCCTCCAGAAATAAAACATAACTTTTGGGAGATAAAAGTTCGAAGTTAAAGAAATCAGAGTATTTAACTTGTGAATAACTCTTGGAGTACGAAACCTTCTAAGCTCTTGAAGTAGAAGTGTTTGTTCTACTAATCCCCCCCGATAAGTAAAATCTGTGAAAACGATTGGAATTCGTGACCAAATCCCGTGATTCTGAATAAGGAGATTCGTGACGTAATCAAGAGCTCTAATCCGACACTATTACTAAGAACCCAATTCACCCTGGTTACTCGGACCAAGTCTTTCCACGCCTCGATCGTTGCCTTACCAATATTAGGGTTTTGGTTTTATTAGTTGTGGTGTTTTGGTTAGAGTAGTTTAGTTGGTTTTAGTAGTGTGTAGTTGTATTATTTGGACCCAGTGAATTATTCGCACTTTTACAACGTACGTACATAAGTGAAAAAAATAATATGTCTCATTTACATCGGATTGGATGATCTATTCTCGTGACTTAAACTGGTGATTTTATTTTATACATTGACATGTGAAACTGTTCAATAATGTAATAAAAATGCATTTGTACGTTGTGTGATAAAAACTTACTATTTATGATATATATGCTGCTTATATCTCGGTTTTACGTGCATAAAAAGTTGTATCACACGGTGGTACTGTACACTTGCATTTAATGATTTACGTACGTACGTACGTACGTAAATCGGCCTTTTGATTTAAAATGACAAATAATCTAAAACAGACCGACAGTTCATCAGATATTAAGCAATTATATTTAAAAGATAATGACACATTGAATATTTTTAGTGAAATTGTTAAAGAATTATATAATTTAGATAATGAAGAAAGATCAAAGGGCAAAAGTTTAGAACAAAGATTTAACATATTGGAACAATTTTTAGCAAAAAAGAACCAAAATCCAGATAATGTAGTTAAATGGTGCTTAGAAAATCAATTCAATCCTATGGTCCAAATAATTCTTGGACATTGTTATCAAAATGGTAAATGGATTGAAAAGGATGAGCATAAGGCATTCATTTATTATCAAAAATCTGCTGAGATGGGGAATGCTGATGGAATATTTAATGTTGGAGTTTGTTACGATAAAGGAATTGGAGTTGAAAAGGATGAACGTAAGGCATTCATTTATTATCAAAAATCAGCAGAGATGGGGGATGCGGGTGGAACGTATAATGTTGGATATTGTTATCAATATGGAGAAGGAGTTGAAAAGGACGAACGTAAAGCATTCATTTATTATCAAAAATCAGCAGAGATGGGTGACGCTACTGGAATGTCAAAAGTTGCTATGTGTTATCGAAATGGAATTGGAACAACAAGAGATTTAGAATCGGCCAAATACTGGTATCAAAGGTAAACATTAAGTTTAATTTATTCAGACGAATCATAATCAAATAATAAGGTCAGATGTAATTGAGTTAGAATTATAATAATGTTAGGGCAGTGTTATAGCTTTAAGCTGACTCATGAGAAAATTACATCTGATTTTAATATTTTATCACACTAAATTATATTATTTATAAGACATTGATGTTATTATTGTTTATTTTATATTAGCATGTGAAATTTTTTGTATATTTTGCATAAATGATGATGTCATTTTATGCCAAAAAATTTTACATGATCATATCACATAAACAATAAATATTATTTATCGTACGGCCACGTTGTTACTATTGTTCATATTCGTACGTACGCTTTTCATATTTTTGTTCACATTTGTACAGCTTTCATATTTATATTTATATTTATATTTATATTTATATTTATATTTATATTTATATTTATATTTATATTTATATTTATATTTGTATTCATAATTAATAATACCATAAATAACTGATAACAATAACTGATAGCACTAAAAATTTTTACACGTAAAGATGACAAAACGTTGATTTGGAGCACGTTATTTATTTAATATGATCAAATGCATATGATAGTAACAACTGTCGAACGATAGTAACGTATCGTATGAGGGAAAAAATCGACACGATAGTACGATAATTTATACGATAACTTATACGATAACTTATAATTAATTTAATAAATTCATATATTTAAATTGCCAATTAGGGAGAAAGAATTGACTTTAGGTATTATTATGATTTATTATAAACTATATTGTTATTTATTTCTTTAGAATTTAAAATTGTTAAATTTTATTATTAGCTACAAATGAATGGATGCATAATTCTGAAATTGATGATGATTTGAAAAATTTATTGATCGAAAATGAGTATCAGCTGTCTTGGATTTCTTATGATGAATTCAAAGATATTGATGAGATAGGTAAAGGCGGATTTGCAACTGTATATTATGCTAGATGGTATGATAAAAGTCAAAATTTAAATAGAGCTGTTGCGCTTAAATTACTTCATAATTCGAATAATTATTATGAAGAATTTATAAAAGAGGTAATTTTTATTTACTATTTTTATTTATTATGCAGAATATAATTCTCCATTTATTATTTATTTTATTAATAATTTAAAATATATTTCATTCTAATAAGTTAAAAGCATACTGTGATATCGGCCTTAAAGATCCAACTTTTTTAAAATGTTTTGGTATATCAAAAGATAAAGTTTCTAAAGACTATATCCTTGTAATGATGTACGCTCCAAAAGGTAATTTGCGCAAAAATCTGCAAATTATAGCACAGGTGGATTGGAAAGATAAATTAAATCTGCTACAATGTATTGCATCAGATCTGAAGATAATTCATTCTCATGATCTTATT